CTTTCTTTCTCTCTTTCTTTCTCTCTTTCTTTCTCTCTCTCTCTCTCTCTCTCTCTCTCTGGTCAACGTCAATAAAATAAAATAACAACAATGAGTAAAATTTAATAATCTTTAAAAAAAACCTGAAAACAAAATGGTATAACTGCAGATTTGCTTGCTATTTAATTGATACTATGAACTTAGAATACCTTTTCCTCAATTTAGTAACACAAATGCAGTTTCTCCTATTTTCTTTTCTCAGAAAGCCAAAACTATATGGATTTGCTCATCACTCTTTTCTTTCATGTATTTCAACATTACTATGCTTTCAAGGTGGTATATACTATATATACTTAATATAGTCCCTCCCATCTTGAGGATGGGACCAAAATCTAAATGAAAAAATCATTAAGTTTCTTATATACCATATACACACAGTCTGAAAGTAATTTCATGCAATGTTTTCATATTGCAGCACTTTAATGGCTGTGTCATCGTGTCAGTGCTCATAAAGCTCGGGATTTTGGAGCATTTCAGATTTAAGACTTTTAGATTAGGAATACTCAACCTCATCAGTTTTCAGGAAGTTCATTCCTGAACATCAGAAAAGGGTGACACTTATAGCAGAGTGTATACGAAATGCCCACTAATATCTAGAGGAAAGAGAATCAAAAATACAACATAAGGAACACTAACATTTTGGGTACTTATGGAGGAAAAAGGCTCAAAAGGCTGAGGATGTAAGTTAAACAAAAAAAAAAAAAAAGAAAATTGCGAAAGAAAGAAAAACAAACAAAAGCACTGTCAAGAGAAAGTGAGTAGTAACTGAAAAATTTACACAGATAACCAGAGAATGGAAACGTATACCCTGAACTGGAAAATCAGAAAATGATAGGAGGGCAGCATAATGAATTCTCAAATGTATTTCAATTAAATTGCGTCAAATGGCACAGCTAACATACAGTATATTAGTTCTTGCTTGAAACATCAAACAATGATGGAGTGGGACCAGCAGGTGGCATGGAGGTTAAAGGCACTGGACTCCCATATGGCCGACTGCGGTTCAAGTCCGGGACCTGGTTACTCACTTTTCCTTTCTCTCTCCCTGTCTCTGTTTCTCTCTGGTCAAATTAAAATAATAATAATAATAATTTAATTAAATTAATATTTTTTAAATGATGTAGAAAAATTTACAAATTCTCATCCCAGAGAAGGTTGTTAATTCAAACACAAACCAATTTTTGTTTTGCATTTATTTTTAAGGGAAGAAAATAACAATGTAAATGTAAGAGTTAAAACTACAAAATTCTTAGGAGAATACAAAAAGAAATCTTCCTAACTTTGTATTTGGCTAATATTTCTTGGATATGACAACAAAAGTATAGGAACAAAAGAAAAAAATAGGCAGATTAAAAGCTTTGTTTATCAAAGGACATTTTCAAAAGTGTGAAAAGGCAGGCACCCCATTAATTGGGAGAAAATAACTGTAAATCACATATCTAATGAGGGATTAATATATGAATATGTAAAAAATTTCAACAATAACAAAAAAAATTTTTTTAAATGAGCAAAGGACTTAAATAGATATTTCTCCAAAGAAGATTTATATATGGCCTAGAAGCATACCAACAATGCTCAATAACATTAATGATCAGAGAAATACAAATCAATACCACAAAGATATACCACTTCACATCCATTAAGACAGTTATTATAATAAAAAAAAAAAAGAAAAGAAAAGCTCAGACTATAACAATCATTGGTAAGGGCATAGAAAAACTAGAATCTTTGGAATCCTGTATTAGTAATGGGAATATAAAAATGGTACAGCCACTGTGAAAAATAATAAGGTAGTTCCTCAAAAATAAAACATAGAATTACCATACTGTCTCACAATTCCACTCCTAGGTATATGCCCCAAAAAACCGAACCCAAGGACTGGAACAAATATGTGTACAACCATATTCATAGTAGAATTATTTTTTTTAGAGGTTTTTACTATAGAGCACGTGCGCTCGCCAGAAAGACAGAGAGAGACAGAGAGACAGAAAGCAAGAAATCAGACTGCAGTCCCTTCTGCTCCATTCTCCTCTCGAGATCTTGGGCACGCATGTACGCACACGCGCCCGGTGTGAGTTTAAGCCACTGGGTCCTGGACTTGAACCGTGGTCAGCTACATGGGAGTCCAGCGACATAGCCATTAAACCAACTGCTGGTCCCCATAGTAGCATTATTCACAATTGCCAAAAAGTGGAAGCAACTCAAGTGTCCATCGAGAGGCGAATAAACAGACTGTGGTATACAGATAAAATGGGACACCATTCAGCCGTAAAAAGGAAAGAAATTCTAACATGCTACAACACAGGTGAATCTTCAAGACACTCTTCTAAGTGAAAATGCTAGTCACACAGGACAAATACTGAGTGATTCACTTAGATGGGACACAGAGAGTATCAAATTCATACAACAGTACAATGGCGGTTGCCAAGGATGGGAGAGGGAGGAAAGGGTTAGTTACTGGGTTTTGTTTTGTTTTTTTGTTTTGTGTTTGCTATAGGGGGTGTAATCTCACCAGAGAGAGGAAGAGAAAGTGAGAAATCATCACCACCCTTCCCCCAGGGGGCTTGGCCTCACTGCAATTCCTTCTCCTTCATTCTCCTCTGGCGATTTTGGGTACACACACACACATATGCACCTGGCACGCTCAAGCCACCACGTCCAGGAGTTGAACTGCTCAGTCGGCCATGTGGGATCCAGTGCCTGAACCTCTGCACTACCCACTAGCCTAGAGTTTGAATTGGACAAGAGGAAAAGGGTTTGGGTGGTTGTAGAACAACATGCCTGCACTTAACCCCACAAAGGGGGTTAAAATGGTTAAAAGCATAATTTTATATTATGCATATTTACCACAATAGAAAAAGAAATGGGAGAAAAAAACATGACTTACCAGTTCTTTAGCCAAGTAATCTGCCAGGGTATTTAAAAGCTTATAATACACTTCAAACCATGGAAGGTAACTGTAAAAAAAAAAAAAAAAAAATTAATGTGCGCATGTATAGCCATAATTTTGAATCAAGAAACAAGCAAACAAAATAAACATTAGATTTATAGGGTTAATTATTGATCCTGAAGAGAATAACTATCCCCATATTATTATTACTTTTTCAATAAATTTTTACATATTTTCTATTAGCTTTCATAAAACAAATCAGAATCCAAAGACCTTTTATTAAAGTTGTTCATTATACAATTCCATTTCATATAGCAGTATTTAAAGTTATTTAATCTTATCTCATGATAATCACTAGAAGCAACTATAGGATAAAATTTAACCACTATAGGAACATATTATATAAAAATTAATCTTAAAAAGCTTTTGGTCTGGGGCCAGCAGGTAGTATAGTGGTGAAACCACTGGACTCCCACATGAGTGACTGTGATTTGGGTCCCAGACCCAGAGGCATGAAACTCATGCCAGCTGTGAGTGTGTGCTTGCCCAAAATCCTGAGAGGATAATGGAGAAAAAGGGATTGCCATGTGGCCATTCCCCTGGGGGTGATTTCTCACCTCTCTCTATGTCTCGAAGGTGAGCACATGTGCCCTACAGCAAAAATCTCTTTTATAAGAAAGCTTTTGGGTCTGCTCCATGGCTTGGTAGTAATGTCCTGCTGAGATGAAACTGCATCCACACAGAGGACTGCAGCTCAGTTCCCCAGCCGACCTGCGCACCACGGTCCCAGTCTCACCTGTGACCTCGGCTGGCCGGGGGTGGGGGTGAGGGAATCACAGTGTGAGGTCCTGTTGAGGATGCTTCTCTCTGTCTCTATCTCTCATTCTCATAAAAGAAAAACTAAACTTTAAAAAAGCCTTTACATCAAAAGTTAAATTGATTCTTCTTGCACATTGCCAAATTGAGTATATAGTACAAGAGATTTTGCAGTCAAGTAATCAGTTTTCATAAATGTTTAAGTAGGGGGACCAGCAGTTGGTGTAATGGCTATGTCGCTGGACTCCTATGTAGTCAACTGCGGTTCGAGTCCTGGATCCGGTGGCTTAAAACTCACACCAGGTGCGTGTGCATGCGTGCCCAAGATCCTGAGAGGAGAACGGAGGAGAAGGGATTGTGGCGTGGCCATCCCCCCTTATGGCCTAGAAGCATACCAACAATGCTCAATAACATTAATGATCAGAGAAATACAAATCAATACCACAAAGATATACCACTTCACATCCATTAAGACAGTTATTATAATAAAAAAAAAAAAGAAAAGAAAAGCTCAGACTATAACAATCATTGGTAAGGGCATAGAAAAACTAGAATCTTTGGAATCCTGTATTAGTAATGGGAATATAAAAATGGTACAGCCACTGTGAAAAATAATAAGGTAGTTCCTCAAAAATAAAACATAGAATTACCATACTGTCTCACAATTCCACTCCTAGGTATATGCCCCAAAAAACCGAACCCAAGGACTGGAACAAATATGTGTACAACCATATTCATAGTAGAATTATTTTTTTTAGAGGTTTTTACTATAGAGCACGTGCGCTCGCCAGAAAGACAGAGAGAGACAGAGAGACAGAAAGCAAGAAATCAGACTGCAGTCCCTTCTGCTCCATTCTCCTCTCGAGATCTTGGGCACGCATGTACGCACACGCGCCCGGTGTGAGTTTAAGCCACTGGGTCCTGGACTTGAACCGTGGTCAGCTACATGGGAGTCCAGCGACATAGCCATTAAACCAACTGCTGGTCCCCATAGTAGCATTATTCACAATTGCCAAAAAGTGGAAGCAACTCAAGTGTCCATCGAGAGGCGAATAAACAGACTGTGGTATACAGATAAAATGGGACACCATTCAGCCGTAAAAAGGAAAGAAATTCTAACATGCTACAACACAGGTGAATCTTCAAGACACTCTTCTAAGTGAAAATGCTAGTCACACAGGACAAATACTGAGTGATTCACTTAGATGGGACACAGAGAGTATCAAATTCATACAACAGTACAATGGCGGTTGCCAAGGATGGGAGAGGGAGGAAAGGGTTAGTTACTGGGTTTTGTTTTGTTTTTTTGTTTTGTGTTTGCTATAGGGGGTGTAATCTCACCAGAGAGAGGAAGAGAAAGTGAGAAATCATCACCACCCTTCCCCCAGGGGGCTTGGCCTCACTGCAATTCCTTCTCCTTCATTCTCCTCTGGCGATTTTGGGTACACACACACACATATGCACCTGGCACGCTCAAGCCACCACGTCCAGGAGTTGAACTGCTCAGTCGGCCATGTGGGATCCAGTGCCTGAACCTCTGCACTACCCACTAGCCTAGAGTTTGAATTGGACAAGAGGAAAAGGGTTTGGGTGGTTGTAGAACAACATGCCTGCACTTAACCCCACAAAGGGGGTTAAAATGGTTAAAAGCATAATTTTATATTATGCATATTTACCACAATAGAAAAAGAAATGGGAGAAAAAAACATGACTTACCAGTTCTTTAGCCAAGTAATCTGCCAGGGTATTTAAAAGCTTATAATACACTTCAAACCATGGAAGGTAACTGTAAAAAAAAAAAAAAAAAAATTAATGTGCGCATGTATAGCCATAATTTTGAATCAAGAAACAAGCAAACAAAATAAACATTAGATTTATAGGGTTAATTATTGATCCTGAAGAGAATAACTATCCCCATATTATTATTACTTTTTCAATAAATTTTTACATATTTTCTATTAGCTTTCATAAAACAAATCAGAATCCAAAGACCTTTTATTAAAGTTGTTCATTATACAATTCCATTTCATATAGCAGTATTTAAAGTTATTTAATCTTATCTCATGATAATCACTAGAAGCAACTATAGGATAAAATTTAACCACTATAGGAACATATTATATAAAAATTAATCTTAAAAAGCTTTTGGTCTGGGGCCAGCAGGTAGTATAGTGGTGAAACCACTGGACTCCCACATGAGTGACTGTGATTTGGGTCCCAGACCCAGAGGCATGAAACTCATGCCAGCTGTGAGTGTGTGCTTGCCCAAAATCCTGAGAGGATAATGGAGAAAAAGGGATTGCCATGTGGCCATTCCCCTGGGGGTGATTTCTCACCTCTCTCTATGTCTCGAAGGTGAGCACATGTGCCCTACAGCAAAAATCTCTTTTATAAGAAAGCTTTTGGGTCTGCTCCATGGCTTGGTAGTAATGTCCTGCTGAGATGAAACTGCATCCACACAGAGGACTGCAGCTCAGTTCCCCAGCCGACCTGCGCACCACGGTCCCAGTCTCACCTGTGACCTCGGCTGGCCGGGGGTGGGGGTGAGGGAATCACAGTGTGAGGTCCTGTTGAGGATGCTTCTCTCTGTCTCTATCTCTCATTCTCATAAAAGAAAAACTAAACTTTAAAAAAGCCTTTACATCAAAAGTTAAATTGATTCTTCTTGCACATTGCCAAATTGAGTATATAGTACAAGAGATTTTGCAGTCAAGTAATCAGTTTTCATAAATGTTTAAGTAGGGGGACCAGCAGTTGGTGTAATGGCTATGTCGCTGGACTCCTATGTAGTCAACTGCGGTTCGAGTCCTGGATCCGGTGGCTTAAAACTCACACCAGGTGCGTGTGCATGCGTGCCCAAGATCCTGAGAGGAGAACGGAGGAGAAGGGATTGTGGCGTGGCCATCCCCCCTGGGGGGTGATTTCTTGCTTTCTGTCTCTCTGTCTCTCTCTGTCTGTCTGGCAAGCACACACACCCTATAGCAAAAACCTCTCCAAAAAGAAAAGAAAAAATAAATAAATAAATGTTTAAGTAGGATAGTAAACTTCAAAATGAATACCAATACAAATATCAGAAACTATTCTAACATTCTAAAAATTGTAAATTACTTTTAGATATCAAAATCAAGCAATATAAAATCATAATCAGAGCCAACAGATGGCAGAGCGGTTATATCACTGGATGCCCACGTGGCCTATAGTGGTTGAAGTTCCAGACCCAGTAGCTTGAAATTCATGCTAAACAAGTGTGCATGTGTGCCCAAGATCCTGGGAGGAGAATGAAGGAAAAGGATTGCGACATGGCTGTCCCCGCAGGGGGTGATTTCTCATTTTGCCTCTGTCTGTCTGTCTCCTTCTCTCTCTCTCTCTCTCTCGTGCATGTGCCCTAAGGCAAAAATCTCGAAAAAAATGTTTTTACAATAAAACTAATATTCATTTATTTTGCTAGATAAGAGTATAATTTTTATAAAAGCTGAGGACCAAATTCAAAAGTCATCTCTATGAAATAAAATCTATATTTCTTAATAAAAATATTGTATGTTAAAAACCTGTCCAAAGTTTTTAATTTAATATTTATTAAAATATATTTTTATAACGAAAACAGTAAGTCACAAAATACACCAGTGTTATGAATTATCAATGAACAAATACTTTTTTCTTGAAAGTATTAGTATTACAGGCTACTTTTTAAGGAAAAAATGTGATAACTTTACTCTTGATAGCAATCGTACACAGGTAAGAGTACATACATAAGACATATCCAAAATTTTTAAGAATCAGTGAATAGAGCTTAGAAAAAACACTGTGGTTGAATATAGCACACTGAATACATGCATTCACTTATCTCTATGCCTTCTGGGAATACCACTAAATGATAGGGAATTAATGAAAAGGGTCTAAGTTAATTATTTCAAAAGAAACGGAGGGGAAAAGCCTAGCAACACAGGCAGACAACCTTGTGAAGACTGTAAGCAAACACAGAAGTGCTGAGAGAAAATCCGAAGCTGCGTGCCTTCAGAAGGGAAATGGCAGATCTGGACCCCACGCCTTGGGCCCCCAGGATTCTGGAATGCTGATTTGAGAATCTCTCAAAGGTAAAAAAAAGCCTCAAGGTCCTCTTTTCTTGGGGTGAAACCTAACAGTGTACACACAACATTCACAATTCTGGTTGAAAGACACTACAGACTGATGGGCCAACCACCATATAATTGAGGAAATCAGACACAAATGTATGTTTGTATTAAACAAACATGAAAGGAATTATGAGTAAATATAGACAATACAAAAAAGCAGATGAAAACTTCAGAGCATATTTATATATGATATCCACAGGAGCTGAATAAAGAACAAGATGTTGAAGCCAGTGGGGACATGGTGGGTTAGACTCTGGACTCCCACATGACCGACTATGGCTTGAGTCCTGTACCTGGCAGCTCGCTTTCTCATTTTCCCTCTCCCTCTATTTTTTTCTCTCTAGTGAATACATGTGCCCTATAGCAAATTAGAATAAGAGTAATAAAATTAAATAACTTTTTTTAAAAAGAACAGGATGCTATTAAAAAAGACTTCAAAAAAATTCTAAAGGCTGAAAAAATTAAAACCAACAGAAAGGTTAGAAGATATCTCAAGAAAAATCTTCCAGGAGCTAGCAATAAAGAGACAAACAGCTGGATCATAAGAGAGAAAACATTACAATACAGGGCACCAACCTAACCATCATATAGTTCACTAATAGTACTTTCTCTTTTTCTTTAAGAATTACTTTATTGAACTTTATTTTTATTTATTTATTCAAATTTGACCAGAGGTGGACAGAGACAGAGAGACAGAGAGGGAAAGTGAGAAAGCAAGCCACCGGGTCTGGAACTGGAACCACAATCGGCCATCTGGGAGTCTAGCACTCGTAACCACCATGCCACATGTCGGCCCACTAATAGTACTTTCAAAAAGAAGGACGAGAAGAAAGGAAGAAATGAAAATATCTTTTTTAAACATTACTGGAAAATTTCCCAGAACTTCAGGCATGAGCTCCCACCTGAAAGGGTGACTAAATACTAGCACAGTATAAGCAAACCAGGGTGTCACTGTGGAAGTTCAGAACAGGCGAGAGAAAAGTGCTTAAGAGTTTGCAAAGAAACAAGCAGGGAACACAGAAAAGTGTCACTGACCCTCTCAACAGAGACAGCAGAAGTTACAAGACTGACTGCAAAGCATGAAGGCTACATTCTTTATACCTGAGAATTTTATGTTCAGAGAAACCATGGATCAGGTGTGAGGAGAGAATAATAACAGCATTTTCAGTCATGCAAGGATTCAAAAGTTCATCTCCTTAGCCATGCTAAACAAAATGAGGGAAGCCAGGGAGAAGGAGTGTGGGGCTGTAGGAGGCGACACATCTAAGATTCCGGCAGGACAATGAAGAGCAAGAGTAGTAGGAGCTTTGCAGAGACCTACAGAGCAGCCAGTGCCAACGGAAAACAGGGAAGGCTTTAGTGAGGGATGCCAGAACATGGTATTTACAAGGGCCTTGTTGACAACCTCGCCTGGGAATCTAGAAACATTTGGATAGATGTGTGACAAATCTGACAGCTACGGGGACTTTGAAAACCAGAAATCAGTATTGGCAATCTCAGTTTTCATATTTAAATTATTCAGCTCTTCCTACCCTAGTGCTTAGATGAATATTCTACTCTTTCACTTACAAAAAAGCTCCAATAATTCTTAAAGAGTACTCATACTGGTTTTAAATTATCAACTCTACAATGCAAATTACCACATCATAGTCTCTGTACTATCATGTAAAGATCATTTTCGTGAAGAATGTCCTTTTACAAAGACACATGATAGTTCCTTAGAGTGCTATTTCTAACATTCAAACTCATGTTTAAACTTTTAATGACCTGAAGAAATTGCTATTTCTATAAAAAACATATGATGTATAGCTCATAATTATTGGCTATAAAGAGAGATGTCTTTTTTTTTCTATATCAAATACCTTAACACTCCTTTAAATCTTCTGGTTTTCTCATTTTTCTATTATTATATTTCATTGGTGATACTTCCCCTTCGATTTCTTTTCAAATTACGAAAACAAGTTAGAACCCAACTTTTCATTAAGTAGCTTGTTTACATAAATACAATTTATCTGTAAGATCACTCATTGACTTGTTTTTAACGAAGAAATTATTAGTATATCCATATTTAGGTTACTTTTAAAAATTTAACTACTCTTACTTGTCCTAGGCATCTTGGTATCTATATATTATTACTGCTTTTTAAATGTTCAAGAGTACTAAGTTCTTACTAAATTTCATTCAGATGAAGCTATGACTTCATCTATAAATTAGACAAAACTACTTAAATATCCTTATGGGATATTTCTCCCAGTCGTTTCTAAGGCCTCAACATGTTTTGTATTTCTATTTGGAGAGTAGAACTCACTTGTCACTTACAGACCATCTTGGAGGTAGAGAGAAGAAACTAAGAATCTCAGAGTCTACCTGCTAAAATAATCAGAAGTGCAAGAAATAAAACTTCTTGAGCATTAACTAGATGTATGGTAACAGGCTTAGTGTTATCTCATACAATTTTTACAATACTGCTTTCATGTATACTTGACTAAACTAGGGCAAAACAACTTATGCAGGATCACAGAGCTACCAAATGGCAAGTTTGGGATTTGAACTCTCATCAGCTTGAATATTAATGCCCAGGGATCTAGTAGGGACAGCCATTGCCCAGAGTAGGCACGCGTTTCTCAAACATCCAGCCCGCCTAACATACCCA